TGTGGAATTTCTGGAACTCTCTTCAAGGAATATAACTCAAAGCAAATTAGCAAAGAGAAAAATTACACTTTTACACTGCAGAACTCTAATGCATTTTTCCTATTACAGGTTACATATGATTTTAAAAGAACAACCTGCATCCATCATTTACTTTCTGTATTATTTTCCCTAAATTGCTGTAGCCTAAAGCTTTTTTTTTAATCAGTGGCAAGCAATTTCCTAAGAAACATACAGTCTTTTTAACTAATGCCCTATTTTGGCATCTTTGTATCTTGGTTTGACAAAGGAATAATCTGCCCACATTTGGGATGCAACCAATTTCAATTATTTTGGCCCCACTTAAGATGGAAAGTTTCTTTGGCTTCAAGTTTGACAGACTAAGTCTTTTGGAGAAACAGAACATCTCTGCACAGCCTCATGATCACTTCTCCAATTATATTCTGATTTACATGTTACTGTATAGCTGAAGTGAATTTTTTTAAACTTCTGATTTGCATAATGTTTCCTTGCACTTTAACTCTCTAGAGCAGCTACACATTACTAGGCAGCCACGTCTTACGAAAGAAATGACATTCCATCTTTCTATTCAAATTGTTTTGTTTGGTTTTTTTTTAAGAGTAACTTTGCACATATCCCTGCCTGTAGCAATGTTAAAGAGGATTTTTTTTTTCTAGGTGTAAGGGGGTTTTGCAGTTGCTTTCAGTTGAGAATCTGCATGAATGCAGTCAAAAGTTCAGTGAGATCTTGCCTGAAGGAATCCTATACCACAGAATGACACACCAATATACCTCCACCTGTGGTTCCAGTTAAGAGATTGGAGTTTGCTCTTCACAACTCCCAAAAGCCTTCCTGTGGTCAACAGCTGATAGAGCCCTTAATCCCAGTATCCAAGGTTTCTTCTTCTGGGGCTACGGAACCAGGTCTTGATCAATCCCTGAGCAAAGTATGTCATTTACTATAGAAACCATGATCTCCCTTTACAGTTTTAGTAGTTCCAGACCCACAGTTTAAAAGTGACTTTTGGTCTGCCCTCTTAGATCCAAGAAAATGCTTAATTCTGAGAGAATGAAGTTTAACTTTTATTGTTACAGATAACTTACGTTTTAAGGAGATTTTCAATGAAACTGCAACATTCATACTTTTTGACATGGCTTCATGCTAGTGTTGGTTTTCAAGGCCAGGAAGAAATAGGATGACAGTTAAAAATCCACTCTTGCAGATGCAGTCCTCCAATAATAAAAATTCTGAAGGAGCAGAAATGAGCACCAAGGATGTTTAGACTTCCTAACTCAAGGCTAGCATTTATAAGGGTGGGAATTTAAGTCTGAGTAAGATTCCTCCTTTGCATCTGCAGTAAACTGTCAGTGAGAAAGGTTTTCTAGGAGCTGACCTGGAGAAACTTTACACAGCTGGGAGGAGACCTACTTTCTCAGGTTAAAGATACCCATTTTGTTATGGTAAAAATCCATTTACATGGCTGGAGCAGTAAATGACATGGAGTTTTCTCCCTGCAATACTTTTTAAAAAAGCACAGGCATGTGGAGAGGAAGTTTTTCATTAGACATTTAAAGATGTATCTAAGAAAAAGATAATTTGCTGAGTGAAAAAATGCTCAGTACTGGGCCAGACATCTACTACAAAGTCCTGAGCCATTGATTTGGTAACTAAGTAATTTAATTTTCCTGTCCATCTGTGGCAGTTCAATGAAGTTGTGCTAATTCAAGGACCAAAGTCCTTAAGGACCAAGTAAAAAGACTCCCATTGGCTTTAAAGTCAATGAATCAAGTTGACTTGATATCCAGTGACCTCCAAATTCTGCCAAGCAGAGCTTCCCAGACACCCCCAAGGGCTGTTTGCTATTTTAATGTAGCTATTTAGCACTAACAATAGTGGAGGTTAAAATCTTGAGTTGCATTTTCATTTATCTTCTGAAGTTTTGTGGGGTTTTTTGTAAGCTTGGAAAATCCCATGTGCAAGCTCCTATCAGTTATACCGACCTCATCACTTTCTTAGTACAAAGACTACAAAGCAAGAAAAGGTAACACATTAAATGCATGTATCAAAACAAAATCTTTAACAACATAAACACTATTTTCACTTTTAATTTAAAAGCCTGAATACAAACCACTCTAATTTTATCATCAATTAGCCTCCAGTCAGTCCGACTACATATATATTTCTACCATGACTTGGAGTTTTACATAATTTTGTCATTGCATTAGTTAAAAACATTCTGAGAAACAGCAACTTTGTTAGTGATTCTCGTAGCTGTTATGTCTAACTAATATTAACGCATAATCTTTTAATAGCAAAATCAAGACAAGATAGGAAGGCATCAAACACACCTTTATGTTACCTTGAAATATCCTGAGTTAATTAATACTTTATTAACTGGTACTAAAAACTGTTGTTATTGTAACAGCAACTCTTTGTATTACATTGGCATTAACTAATGCAGAATTGCTATTTCTTCACTATATTCAACACTCAACAGCAATGAGACTAAAAGTCTCCCACAGTTTGCCTTTCCTTTGAGGCCCTGCAGAAGCATTCTACAAACCATGGCTCATACAGATTTATTCACACAGCCACTGCAATAGATGCTCTTCTTGCCAGCCTCCAGAAAAGTTGCTATTTTTTATTCTAATACTCATGTAGCTTTTCCTGGGAGGAACTTTCACAAACAATGTTCTGTCAAGTCATTTTATATTTGAGACAAGTGAAGTTCAATAGCTATCCTGAAGCCTAGATGTTCCAAGAACACTTCAGTGATAAAAACCAAAACACTTAGCATTCATGATCTTGTATTTCAAGCCTCTTTCTAATAGAGGTGTTAGTGAATAAAAAGCACATGGTTAATGCTTCTTAGTTTGTGGGGCATTGGTCTGGGTTGTTTTCTTTGTGTTAGAAAAGCTACAAATCCAGGCTGTTAACAGCCACAGTGAGTAACAGAAGCCTTACAAAAAAAAGTTTATAAAGTTGCACTTGTTACATCTATTTATACTGCCCTATCACTAATGCCAAATATCCGTATATAATTAATTCTACCAGATGGACTTCTGCCTCAGAAAGTCTTAGCTAATAGCCTTGGATTATTCTTGTTTAAACATTTACCGATGAAACCTGTGTACTTCAGTGGACAATGAATTATGATCCTTTTCAGAAATTACCTTTTAGAACAAAAGCTATAATTGAAGCTTAAGAGGAAAATAATGAAATGGAAATGTCCTTCAATTCCCTTTTAATTAACAGCACTGTACGTAAATACAAGCTGAGCTATTCATTTCCTAAAGACAATGCCTCTCGAAGTATAAGACATTATCTCCCAGGAAATCTCTACATAAAAGTGCTTCTGGCTTGTGCCACTTCAGACCATTTTTTTCCTATTGTCTTCCCAATTAGTTCATAGGACACCTGGCCTTTTTTCTTTTTCTTTTTTTTTTTTTTTTTAATTGATGCTTTTAAGATTAACATTTTGAATCTCGTGCTTAGCACATGCAAACATCCACACAAAGTCCAGAATTATTTTTATAATAGTCTACAGCTATCATTTGCAGTAGCAGGTTGAAACAGGTACAAGACAGGACACACAAACTTCCAAATATACTCTGTAGAAACCAAATGAGCACGCCAAGACAAAAACTGCTTTACGCAAGTATTGCTGTCTTTGGTTAAGAACACACTTTGGGTCTTTTCATTTTTACCTTAATCACACACACAAAAAAATACTTGGGAGTCCAACAGATCTTTTGTTTGGCATAAGCATGACATTAAACCTGCAGAAATATAACATTCTCATTTTAGATTTCAGCTAGCAAATGTTCATGGGCCTTTGACATGCATATACATATGGTCTCTTGTTAGTTGGACTGAAAAAATTGCTGTTTCTTCAAAGAGCTCATCATTAACAAAAATGTGTAAATTCATACCAGTCTTTGTAAAAGTTTATAGAGATATGCAACAAGTATTTGAGTTTAATAAACTTGCCAATGTATTTAACTTTTGCTTTCAAATATATATTTTTAGATAGTCAATAACAAGAGAACCTTCATTTCAGCACCTAATTCAGTTTAGCCTGTATTATTCATTCCATGATGCAGTACAAATCTGTAAGGACAGTAACAATCTGCTGTATGTCATTCAGCTTCCAGTACTAAGGTATACATTGATTCATTTGTTCTTACAATTTAGTCTTTCACAGTAACACTATTTCCCAATCAGTTTTGTAGACTGCTACCAAAACTGCATTTTGGTGAACTACATTGTTCATAAGCAGTTAAGTAACTTCAAATTGTTAACCAACAATAGTGTTTTGCTTTGCAGTGTATTGAAAAATGAACTAATGAGGTTTTTCTGAAGAAACTAATACACCACCTCTCTTAAACAACTAAGCTTCACATTTTTAGAAAAACAAATAGAATATTTGCAAAACAGTATAGTTTTTACAGCACCAGAGAATGCTTTCCCTGATGATGATCTGAGAAATCACAACAGATGACCACACTCCTACCACCTCAGAGCACATCTCTCTCTCTGTGTCAGCAGTAAGGGATGTATACTGAAGCCAAAATTCCAATCAAGTTCCTGCATGTGCTGTTTCCTCATAGCTGTCCCCAGCCTGCTCCTTTTTTCAGACCCTACAAATTGCCCTTTGGCAATATCTATTCTTTCCAATTGACTAGACACAGTGACTTAAGAGTGGAATCCAGGCTGTTTGCTTCTGGCCCTTGAAACTTGGTTGTCTCAGAAGCAAGAGAAGTAAGAGAATATAGCTGTCAAGTTCTGAAGATAAAAAGGGAACAATTTAGCACAAGTGAAAAAACCTTACAAAACTCTACAAATATAGCATTTCACACAATTATATAATAAGAAAGTAAACATAGCTCTTGCATAAAGACCACAGACTGGGTAGCATTGTTTGAGACTTTTTAATATTCAGGAGATTAAGTACATTAAAAAAAGTGTCAATCATTCAGCAGTTAAAAAAAAAAAAAAAGAGGAATTCTTAGGCATTATGAGCAAAACATTACTAATATCTATTACCAGCAAGTGTATATTAGTTAATTCTTATTTGACTAATGAAATATTACTTCGCTCACATCAAATGGCACTTTCAGATACACATATAATGTGATTACCTCAGTGACAAGTGTTCTGGACAAAATACAGTCCTATAAATTCTTAAGTATAACTAAATCAAAATGTTGCTTTATAGCACCTCTGCAAGATGCATACATTATGCAAAACAAATTTTGAAATAAGTTATAGGTGTCTCTAATTCATCTAAGGGGAAACAGAAATTTAGTCCATCTTTCTCTTTTTTCCTTTTGCAGAAGTTTTGGAGGCATGTTCATTTTCAGCATTTGGTTCCCAGAGTGCATTTCTTACAAATCTAGAAGCAGCTCCTTTATCAAGTTTGGATGCCTTTTTCTTGTCTGCTATCTCTTTGACCTTGTTCATGTATGTTCTTATTCTCTCCTAGGAAAAAGAAAAAAAAAGTGTTTTTCACAACACACTCCCAAGATTGCTGCTAAAATAAAATCAGAGTACAAGTGCTCTACACTATGCATTTCTGTAATACCTAGAAAAATAGCATCATTTAAATATATATAAGGCTCTTTGCAGACTTGAGGCTTCCCCTTCAGCAGATTTTCCATTACAGGTACCTACCATACTAATATTTGCATGATATCCACCAAAGGAACATTAAGTCCTACAGAGGTGAAGACTGCATCTAATTTACAGTGAGACAAGAACTGTACTTGCAGGCAACATTAGAAAACAAAACACTGAACTTAATTTGGAGTTTAGCCTACATTAAAAGATGGCACCACAATATAAAAGACATCAAGCTATTGGAGAGTGTCCAAAGGAGAGCCACAAGGATGGTGAAGGGTCTAGAAGGGATGACTTAGGAGGAGCAGCTAAGGTCACTTGGATCAGGTTGGAGAAGAGGAGGCTGAATGGTGACCTCATTGTAGTCTATGGCTTCCTCATGAGGGGAAGAGATGGGGCAGTTACTGATCTCTTCTCTCCTGTGACCAAGGACAGGACTTGGAGAAATGGCAGGAAGCCATCAGGGAAATCAGGGAAGGTTGAGGCTGGGTATCAGGAAAAGATTTTTTCACCCAGAGGGTGGCTGAGCACTGCAACAAGCTCCCCAGGAAAGTGGTCACAGCACCCAGCCTGCTCAAGTCCAAGACGTGTTTGGATGATGCCCTACACAGGGACAGGAGTTGGACTCAATGGTCCTGATGGGTCCCTTCCAACTCAGCATATTCTATGATTCTATGGCAAAATAATATTTAGATATGACATATTAATAGATTAATTATACTGATTACTGTCTAAAAAAAAAAAAGAGAAAGAAAAAAGAGAAAGAAAAAAGAAAAAAAGGTAGCATGTCCAGGCAGACCCAAAAAAGTCAAAAAGCATCTTACACAAAATCAAAGTTGGTACAAGCATTACGCATGCAACCACATGAAGTCTTGTGGTTAAGATCCTGAAATGCTCAAGCAAACTTATCAATGAACCTGTTTACTGCAGCCTGATGAATTTCCAGCTGTACCAGAAGCTTCTTTTATGATCATAAATAAAAAACCTGTTCCCACTGCCACTTCATGAAGCAGTGGCATCTGCCATCTTAACCCTACCATAGTAATGGTTTTTTTTGAACAAAGCATAGCTTGGATTCAGCCCCACCTAAGTATACCCTCACACCTTAACAATTCATCACCCTCTTAAGTGCCTGCTTCTCTTCACTTACTAGAGAGGACACTTACAGTAATTCTGCAAAATACGTAAAAGTTTGGTTGATAGATTTCATGTCTACATATTTAGCCTAATACGGCCTTCAACTCTAGGGCCTTTACATGATAATGTAATATGAACTGCAAACAACAGTAACATATTTACACATATATATACACACTGCTCTGATGCCCAAATGACAAATGAGGATTAATGGAACATTCATGGTTACTGCTAACTAAATACACGTTAATATTATGTAACCCACACATTTCTCACACAAGCCATTGACAGCTTTTTGAATCTGCAACAAAAGTTTTGAGACTGACACTACACAACTGATTTTCAGCTCTTCAGTGATCGTTCTAAGCACCTGATTTGTCAAAAAGTTGGCCACTCTTTCTGTATCAAAAACATAGTTTTAATGAGGAGAGGTTTACAGAGTCTGAAATCATGATAGACCAGTATTTCTTTGGTGACTGAGATGGCTAATGAGAACAGATGGCAAACCTACATGTATCAACATGGGAAAAAAGAGCTGGCAAATGTCAGCATGACAAAATAAATGAGCTCTGATAGCTTAAATGTGAATTTTATTAATGCAGTTGGAATCTCTGTATATTCCCTGTAGGTACACAAGGAGAACATTTCTAAAAAACAAAACAATATTACAGTCTTTTTTTATTCCCTTTCCACATGAATGAGAACATCACAATGGTCTTGGAGGGAAGGAACGTGCATTCACTCACCTTGACACTTGAAAAAGGAAAAGAGAACTGGATAAGAATCTAGCCTGTGACAATTCACTCATTATTCAGAGTTAAAATGACTGGCAATTGTGAAATAAAATACCAGCATAAAACATTCACAGCAGAAGAGATAACATTTATTTTTTAGTATTGCTAAATTAACACAATATTCAGGCACTATATATAATATAGGAAGAACAAGAAACTGACTGAAAACTCATGAAATATTAACTGATCCATTTTTTATATGATACAGTCTAGACTACTGAAAACCTCACAAAATTAAAAATAGAAGTATTCTTGTTATTCAGGCTAGCTTTCCACATTTTTCAGTCCTACCTCCCACTCCATTGGTTATGTAAGGATTACATTTAAGCTAAGTATTTTACAATTGCACAGATCTAGCATTTTCATTTATATAGAAATTAAACCGGGTAGCTATAAGTTTTGATTTCTGTTTTCTTCTTCAGGCTAAATTATTTGATTTTTTCAGTCAGCAGAATTTTCAAGATAGCTGCCCTTCTATACTGTAGTCATGTATCTAAATGGAATATAAAGACAAACCTAGAAGATTTATTATAGGTTGTAAATATGTCACTAATGCAGAATTACTGGACAATACACATACAACTGGTGCCAAAAAAGCTTTTAGCTTTGTTGCTGAACTGGATTCTTTACTGCTGAGAAAATGAATTAATGGAGGACTTGGAAGGGGGAGGGGGGGCTCTTTCCCGTCTTCACTAGTAAATCAAGCACTCTATACTTTCAGAGTCATACAAAAGTAAGAAAAGGCAGCCTCAAAGATTAACATGATTCCAAGTATTTATAAGAAAAAAAAATACTATACTGGAAGTTATAAATTATCATCAGACATGAAACATTTTTCCATTTAACAATGGAAATACAAGTGAAAAGCTGCGCTGTTCGGAATCAAATTCTCAAATAAAGGTGGAGAAAAGATGACACCATTTATCTTCTTGTTCTTTTGTAATTTCAGCAGACTCTAACTTTGCCTTAAACAATACTGTTTTGAACTAAAAATATTACTTTCTCAATTTAGAGAGCCCAGCAGGGGATAAGAACGGTTATATAACACCACACAGCATATGTGTGCTATTATGGCAACACAACAATTTTAAATGTAGATACAAACATTTTTTTTTTTAGTTCTACATGAGTTAACTGTCCTGGGTAAGTAATATATTGCATTGCAGTGTAAGAATCTTACCAGTTCTTGTTTCACTGGATGTTCCTTTGGATTGATTCCCTGAGTAGCCAAGTACACTGAAAGAAAAAACATGTCTTTTTGAAATGGAAAGATGTGATGACTGAGGACTGAAATCAATCAGTCACAGAGGAAAACTAAAACCATTCATAAGAATTGGAGTTTATTGTATTTTTAGGTATCTAACAAACTATTATAATACAATATTGCAGTTTAAAAAAAAAATCTAACATGGTTAAGCTTTCTGTTCTTAGGATAGAAAATGCTGCCAAGAAAAAGACAGAAAGAAACATCCTCATGGATGTACAAAATCAGCTTTTGTGATTATCAGTTTTTTATTTGCAGTTTCAACATGGTTTACCCTGTAATAGCAAAAATTTGGGTCCTAGAGGTAATTAAAAGTTTCTAATTATTTGGCTAGGTGATATGATTATTTAATGTTTGCAGCTGTCAAGAAGGTGTTCAAATGGTAATAATAAATACATTTTTTTTACCAAATACTTACCCCAGAACATTGAATTTAACGTGTACACTGAAACCAAATCCAGCTTTGCTTGCTCAAGAGGCTCTAACTAGAATGAAAAAAACACACCACAATTGCATAACTCTAAGCCAGATGTGCATAGATTTTAGTAATAGGCGTATTTTATAATTATGAATGTATTTGTACAAAAAGGTGCATGAAGGAGCACGTTTTTGCAATACAAGTTCACTGACACCATGTCTATGCCTATTTCTGTGCCAATACAAAACCATTCTCTCTGCAAATATTAATTTAATTTTCCCAGTGTGATGCTTAATGCCACAGTCACATATAGCCAAAAGCACAAAAACCTGTTGATATACAGCTCTTGGATTGCTATTCCCATAGTCAAAATTAAGTCCTGATTTTTACATAGAAGCTTAATTCAAAATAGCTGTTGCTATCAATGGATGGTAAAAAAGAAGTCTTAAGATTGCAGAAGCTCAAATGTGAATATAGCATGCTGCAGACAATCAACGAACATTAACACTGCACACAGTAAACTGTGTTCATTGCATGCTGGAATACTTAGGGCTGTAAGACAAAGGAAGAATAAAGGTAACAAGGGGTTTTTTTCCTCAACTGTCAAAGTCAATTTATTGTTTTAGTCCTATAGGATTTCCAGAAACTCTGATAACATAATTGTACAGCTCACTAGTTCTAACATGGATACTGTCAAAAGATCAGTGTTGTCAAGACTGTTTTCTTCATCATTTAATTGCATTAGAAATTCTCACAAGATAAAGAAGTATCCTCCTGTGCTAGCATTTTCTTGCCCAAAGAAAAGAACATGTTTGGCTTTACATGTTGAAAGTTAGAGAGGTTTGTATGGAGTCTTCAGGCAGTACCTTGCTCTGTCTTTATGCCCTGAAAAAAACCCACATTTTACAGACTTGTGCTAGAGGAGACAGTTTGGTTTTTCAAGCACCCACCCGGTTCTGCAAGTCTAGACTTCCAGAATCATACTATTTCTCATTACTGTCACTTCACCTTTATGTCCTTCTGGGTATACTAAGTTCCATTAAGTTTGCTGTGAAAAGGTCTCAGACAAAAATGTGAATGACCTCACTGTTTCATGAAAGAGCACTCAGCATGCACTATAAGGAAGGTCAGGAATAAGCTAGAATGTCCTCTACCTAAATGATTCACTGGTAGGTTCATCTCCTTTCAGCTTGGAAGAACATATATTTAATTCTTTTGTTTGTAAGACCATCTGGATATCTTAGAAATGTAAACATTTCAATTATTAGGTATCAAGGGTAGGAAGTGTCACACTTGTTATTTCTCTGGTCAGTGGCTTGCCTAACAGACCCTTTTATTTCAGTTTGGGTTCTCAGGTATTCCTGCATTAATAACAAAAAGGAAGACTATTTACCTTTTGGAGAAGCTCACTCCTGGAAACTGACATCATTGTCTTCAGCATCTCATCTACAGAACCAAGAGATTTTTCAAATGCTGCAAGATAATCATGGATTTCAGTGGGGTATTCTTCCATATTAGTATCATCTTCTGACATTTTCATCTGGGAAGAGAAAACAAAACTAATAAACCTTTTCATTAAGTCTCTACAGAGACTTACTGTACTTACAGACACTTATTTTAAAATACAAGCCATTAGCATTCATTCATTAAATATTGTAAGAAAGGCCTATTTCTGAAGAGTTCTGGCAGCTGATGTTAATAGTGACACAGTTAAAGGTCCTATAATTTCAGGGGTATCTCCTAGCTGCTGCGCAAAATAGCATGAAGGAGCATTACAAATTACATGACTGTAGTACCTATTCTTGTAACAGTGCCAAAACAGTATTTAGCTTTTATGGTCTGTGACAGAAATAAATTATTTGCTTGTTTTATCAGAGCACCAAGCAACAGATAGGGCACTAAAAAAAAACCCAACCTCCCAAAAAAACAACTTCAGCCTGTCTTAGGGACAGACATTACTTCAGCATTAAAGCGGTTATACAGCACCAGTTTTGTCAGGGTCAGTTACATCTTCTAATGCTAAATTTAGGAGTTGGTCCAAGAAATTCTAGTTGTGAACCCTATATCCAGTTTTATGAATTCTCTATGGTGTATTATAATCTGTGATGTAATTCTAACAAAGATGAATTGATTTGGGGATTTCAGAATACTCTGGAAATCTTGTAGATGCATCTATGCACAGGAACTGTGAGATAAGAAAAGATGTGAAAAAATCCCAAAGCAATCCTTTTTTGATCCAAACATTCATGATAACATGGCATGGCTACTGCCAAGCCATTTGGCTGTTGTCTTATACTCAATATATTTTAATTTCTTTCATATCATGCATTCTCCTGGGGGAGTAAATGTTATTTCAAGCTAGGTTACTTTCCACAACTTCTGACTGAGCAACAACTTTTTTCTAAGGAAAGAGAGGAGGAAATATGTAATTTTCCTGCCCATTTGGTGAGCTGTGTCAAGAACAAATGGGCTCACCTGGACCACTGCGGTCTTTCCTACTTAGGATCGATGTGATAAATCCCACTACCCATCCGCTGAGGATAGGAATATAAGTTGGAGAAACTGTGCTTTGAAAACTTGATCTATGAACATCAAGCCACAAAGCCAGTGCAAACAGCCAGAAAACAGCTGTCACATCACTGGACTTTGTTTTAGATAAAGACTTGATCTTTCCCTTTTCCTGGCAAAAGCATGGTATGTGTGAGAGAGGTTTCTTTTTATTTATAATGTCTCTTGGAGGTCAAACAGGAGGAAGATTGAAAGGAAAAACAGTGCAAAGCTACTCAAGCTAGTCTGCAACTCCAGTTTTAACACACAAGTGAGATTCCAGAAATATGATCAGCCACCTAACAAGCCCGGTTTCACTGCTGTTGTTTGCATAGTTAGATTTCCAATCCTACTGAACTGCATGACATTTCATCCTGGTCAGAGCTTGTTTTTAGATTGAGTACAGAATCACAATGCTAACCATGACATACTGAAGGTCCCCTCCCTACCCCAGCATGTAACTCACATATGTAAATACTGTTTCAATGAGCTGCAGCAGACCTAAGCAAGAATGCTAAGCTGAACCTACAAGATGCTGACCACAATTATTTCTGCCGTTTAAGATAGTATTGGTTTTGTTTTGTTCTGTCCTGGCCACCTGCGTTATAATCCCCCTTGTTAAGTTGATTGTAAGAGTCCAGGAACACTCTTTGTTACTAACTTTCAGTCATACAATACAGCACAAAAATTACTCAAAGCTACAGAAGAAACTAGATTTTCCCAGCTGTTAATACAGTCAAGCCTAGTTAGAAAATATCTGTCAGTACACATTTACACCTACAGGGAGAGAGGTGTAATCCAATCCAATAATCTACAGAGCTCACCACCACTACAATACTTAATCTACTATGGTCTTAATTTGATGGATATGCATGAACATACCGATAAATCGCAACTTTTCTCTCTCTGTCAGGGCATCCAGCACCAGCAACTGCAGGAAAAAATATCCAAATTCTTGTAGCAGAAATGTGTTACCAATCAAAACTAACTCCAGCTATTTTACAGCAGTTGCAAGGATAAACAATTACTAGAGTAATATACTTTCTTTCCAATATCCCAAGCTAGACCTAAAGAATGAGACAGAGAAAGAACAGGAAAATAGAAGGAAATATAAAGAGATGCAGTCGAAAATATGTTTTTCTACAATTACCATCACATGAACCAGAAATAATTAACTTTGCCCTTATATCATGAAGTATGACACTGTCAATTAGCAAGGAAAGGTAAAATATGCAACAACCTTCAATGGATCAAGGCTACACATTAGTCTATGTACAGTGCTCTCCATTGATAAGTCTGCTCCTTCTGGCCAGGGAGGGGGAAGAATTTGTTGAGCTTGGGTTTTTTGTTCATTTCAACAGGAACTAGCAAGTTCCTACTCCTGCTGTTTTGGGACCTCTCTCTTTTCATTAGACTGTTGTTTCAGCATTACTAATCTCTAAGCAGGATATGTTACAGTGTTGGCACATGCCAACAATAAAGCACCAGTCAACAGCCTAAAATAGTTTTGATAACATTAAATCAACAAGAACAAACTTACACTACATTAGAAAACATGTACATGAGAAACTCCACAAAATTGTTTCTGCCAAAATCAACACACAGACTGCACAGTCACATCTGCACAATGACAAAGCCAAGGATGGAATGAACTAAGCCCACAACAGTGACTCTCTAAACATACCTAAAGGCTATACTGCCCTCAGTAGTTAAACTACAGTTATTGAACCACAAACAAGATTCTTCCCAAATTTTACAAGTGTTTCTCTATAAATTTTGAACAAGTAGAAATTTTATTCAGATCCTGAAGCTGATGTTGTACATAAGTTCTCTCTTGTATTTGCTGATTTTCAATCCAATTTTTTTGGCACAGAGATTCCACTGAAAAAAAATAAAAGACAATGCAAATATTCAAATGAGAGAAGTTATGAAAATACTTGCTGGGTAAGCATATGAATAATGAGAAGTAAAAGGGAAACAAGGCTAAGACATCATTTTAATTATCAAGTGATAACACCTCTGAAGCAGAACACTATCTGTGGTTGTGTGCACAATGATAATACTTTGTAAGATCTTTAATTCTGAGAATGCAAAGGAAAGTCTGCAACCCACAAGCATAAAACAGAAAAGGCTAACTTTTATTAAGGACACTGAGGCAAACAAATAGTGATGGAAAATGTGGTATGACTTCATAACATCAGTCTACCACAGCTTTCCTTTCTAACCCTGAGCTCAAAAACTGCCACATAGTTTTTGGGAAAACAGCATCCAAGCAATGTGTTTGAGGAAGAAGAAGACTTTTAAGTCACAAAAGTAAATAATTTTAATAGAAAACTTACTTGTTGCATTTAACTGATCAAAAATTGTCTTATGAGTTTCCACAGGTGGAAAATTTCAGAATATTCTGTAATTTCTTAACATTTTTTAATAAATCATCAGTTATTCAGAAACCTCTGCTTAGAAAACAAGGAACACCTTGTTTTCTCTCTAGTCAACATAGTGTAAATCAGAGAAAGTAATATATTCAACCTGCAAAAAGGGAAGGGAGGAAAATACCAAACATTATGAGACATAGAGAAGACACATATGAAAAGGACAAAGCAAGAGAAAATACATCATCTTCTGCAGAATGTATTAAAGAGACTAAACAGGTGTCAATCAGAAGCAGTTTGCCATAGTGCCAATGTTACTGTTGATCTATGATCCAACTGAGTTAAATGATGTATTAAGGCAGTTTAAATAGAAACAAACAAAATACAGATAATTGTGCACAACACAACTAGCAAAATCATTTGTCTTCACATTTATCTTTCAGGAGAATTATACAAGAACACTGCACAAACCTTTCAAGAAAACCACACCCATGACTGGCATACAAAGGTAAGAAGAGGAAAAAGGGAAACTGAAGACAATTTGCAGGTGACTTTTATGAATAATCTTTTAACACGTCTTGTGTTTTAACACAAGCCTTAGAAAGTAAACTGGCTTAAAAAGCAAAACCAAACCTCCCTTCCTGCCCACCCTCACAGCAAAACTGTATCTGTCATGCTGAAAGATATAAACTCTAATTAAGCCCTGGGTACCCTCTAGGTGAGATTTTGCTGAAGATGCATGGTGAAATTAATGGAACCTATGTACATATATCAATGTGGCAACAGAACACTCTGAATGAATTAAAAAATGCTCAGTGCAAGTGCCATGCACAAGGTTTTCAACTGGAATTAAAACTGCCAAGTTCAGGTAAGAATGGTGTCTTTGAAATACTTTGTAATATGCAAACAGGAGACACAAAAGTAATTTACCATTCTTCATTCTGCTTAATACTGCAATTCCTTTCATACCATGTTAATTCTTACCTGTTTCATAAGCACTAGAAGGCCTTGTTTTCATACTGAGCTCATCTTTTATTTTTTCAGATTATTTATCTAACAAAAAATCAGATTAGACTTCGTGAAAAACAAAACAAACCCAAAACCTTTTGGTCAGAGCATATAAAACTGCTCTCATATTAAAAGCAAATGCATCAGCAACATCAGCAAGATAAACCATCTCTGCCAAAACTGCCACTGTCCTCCTTCTCATGAGTTGATTCACAACCTGCAGTGAATGTAGCTGCTGTGAACACAGCAGAGATGTCTCTTCTGCTCCAACACTGTAGTTCACTGCTGTGGCTATAGGACAATAGAGCAACAAGGAGCAAGCATCTTAAACTTAAAGCTACTAGAGATTGTGACTAAGTTCTTTGATCACAAACGTCTTTTGGGCACAGAAATCCACTTCACTCCATGTCTGCAAAGCTCTGAGTACAATAGGCTCTAACTGGTAACAGAGACTCCTCAGCTTTATTACTGCATGATAAATAATCAGCTGCCCACTAGTCATCACTGTGTCTACAGATCCGATTTGCTACTAATGCCTTTCAAGCCAGCTTGGGGCAGCTGGAGACCACATCTAGTACAATTAGTCAGAGTGCTCTTGCAACGCCAACTCACAATCT